GATCTAAATGTCCATGCATCTTCTTACATCATCCAGGACAAGCAATGCCCACACCGAAGAGCATTTTTTGTTAACAAAATGATAAGCCACATAAAAGATCCCCTTGACTTCTGATGGCAGGAACAACAGCAAGTCAGAAATACAGAGCCCTGCTGAAGGACTTGTTTTCCTTTCCAATTGTTCCCTACCACCAACACAGACGGTGGTAGGGAAGGGCATACTCACACTAGGATTCTGCGCTGCACTTGACAGCAATTGCGGGCAGGTTCATGCGCCGAAAAGTCCCAGTGTGAGTATGCCATAATGAATTATTCAAAACTAGATGGGAGCAAGAGAAATCGAACAGTCGAACCTGCATCTCGCCCACCTATCCCCCCYCCCCCCCCCCAATCCCCCTCAATCCCCTCGTCCACTCTTCAAAATCAAAACTATCAAGAAGGGTGTGAGAAATTGCTGAGAAAACACCAACCAATTAATGGATTCCTCCTCGGAACCGTACAATCAATCACGCTTAAACTTACATAAGCCATTAGGAACTCCAACGGCAAATGATCGCCACCATAACTCCCCAACAACCATACCCCATACCTATGACCTTCATCCTCCTCCTCCTCCTCCTCACCACCACCACCATCTCCATGACGATCATCATTACGTTCCCCTATTCAGCAAGGAACTGGAACAAGCTCACCAGAGCATAACTCCCTATACCAACCATTCATACGACCATCCTCCTCACGAGCACCGTCATCACTACCATCTACAATGCAACTAGGAAACCTAACAGCCATCGCTGGCCTAACGTCCAATCGACCATACCCACCACCACCCCACGATGGCCACGACGATCGTCATTACCATGTACAGCTCAATTAGTAGTGACAGTGCTGTCTATAAGTGGTCGTCAAGCCTTCAATCTGTAGTACGGATTCCACACCTTGCATGCTGCTCTGACTCTGAGTCCTGCATGACAACCCCTACAATGGCGGCAAAATAGACTGAGAGACAAGAGTGAGTCTCCAAGACCATAACCAGCTTCCTTCCGATCCTATCATATTTGATGACAAGACAAGAAAGGGCGTGTTTTTCGGCGAGGCACCTATTGTGTGCAGACAAAACCAACCCCACACACTGTGTGCACATACGACGATGTACTTTTTCTCAAACGTTACGTTCAAAACACCAAGTACACCAAACCAAACTGTGTGCCATGTGATCCAAACCACAGGTCTGACTGTCAGACGCCCCTATCGGGTGGGTGTGGGTGGACGACCGAGCGACACTTTCACCAGCTTCCAATAGGCTGTAAGCTATGTTCTCGGTGTTATAGCTCACTCCTGCATAGTCCTGCCCCTAATGGGTTGGCGGAAGACAGGCGCACACTTTACACAAACGAAGACAGACGCCCCTATCGGGTGGGTGTGGGTGGACGACCGAGCGACACTTTCCACAAACGAAGATGGATACGCAAGCTCTAGCAACGCATGCTATATAAGTTCCTACTCCAGTGCACCCTAAGGAGCCATCTCATCTGTAAATTTGCGTCTAAAAATAGACTTCACAATTGCTGAAACCCCTTGCTGGTCATCTGCAAAATTGGCCTGGAGACGACGAAATGCTAGCAAACAGAGGGAGCGACATACAAGGCCATTCCCTAACAACATGAATGTGTTTAAAAGTCAAAACACTTCACAACTGCTGAAAACTCGCGCTTGCTGGTCATCTGAAAAACCTGACTGGAGACGGCGAAATGCTAGCGAATAGAGGGAACATATGGAAGGCCACTCTGTAATGACTGGACTGCGGACGCCGATTCCCGTGCCGTCGACCTTTTACAACCCGGCTCTCCTACCTCACCTTATGGGACCATCATAGTACAAACTGCAATCAGTGGTCATCCGCTCTGGATGATTGCACACCTCCCCACCTCTCTCTTCCCATTAGCAGTCCCTAATCAACTTTATTCCGAAAAATAACCCTTCTGAACGCCTTCATTTTTTCCCGCTTGGGGAGAACAGAGGTCACTTTGAGACCTCGCACTTATCGGCTATGTGCACTCTGACACATGAGCTCAGACAATACGAACGATCATACACCAGTCAACGAACTCTACAGCTGCAAAAACTATCAGGTCGTGTGAACGGGCTCAAACTCAAAAATACATGACACCAGTCAAGCGCTACTGCTTCTGTGAAGAGAGAAGGAGAGAACTAATCACGGAAGCGAAACACATAAAATTTTTTCAACTACCCTACTGTTCCTGGACAGCATTCCTCACATGCTAGCAACCTGCCAATCTACACGGACGGACCAGATCTGCCAGATTTATTCCCAGTTCCTACTACAAGAGCTGAATTCATAATATAACAAACATACTGTGCAGCTGTCGGATATACACTCAATTACGCAAATTAGTACAAGCAGGGGGAGGAAGTACCAGAGACTGGTGATAACGAAGCAAGGAAATGTTACGCAGAGAATGAATATAATGCAATCCACACCGTACTTACGTATATCGGAATGAATGCTGTGGGGTCACTGCCTCTGAGAGAAAGAAATGACATAGAACAGGATCCTCACCTGCTGTAGAGTTAGTTACCTGCCCTTAGTGAGGTCGATTACGAGGGGATCAAAGCTGTGTAGCGGTGTGTACCCCGAGCATCACGATTGGAATGCTGTGAGCATGAGTGTCTGTCCCGTGTGCATGTGTCACACACACACATCAAGAGCAAGGGGGAGAGAGAGAGAGAGAGAGAGAGAGAGAGAGAGAGAGAGAGAGAGAGAGAGAGAGAGAGAGAGAGAGAGAGAGA